AAAAAAAAAAAAAAAAAAGAAAAAGGCCGCACTCATTAGGAAAAGAGCGATCTAAGGTGCTTGACCCTTTTATAGCTTTTTACCAGCTCTTATCAACTGTTATCAAATATTTTATCAGTCGCCTTCGGTCCCGTAATACCCCATCACTTAACAAAATGCAAAACTCCCACGGATGAAGTCAAAGGCTCATTTGTAGCTGTAGAATCTGCCTTCTGGTAAATTCTGCCTTGTGCGACCGCTTCTCAGGGACTGTTCCCTGAAGAATTTCAATTCTACAACGAATTGGAAACGTCTTAGGAATGGATTGTTGTCCAATCTGTGCTCTGCCCGTTCTTCACATCGAGGAGCTGCTTTCTAAAGCTCTGGACACAGTTCATTTCGAGCCGATATTCCTCAATCTGAACCTATTTCTTAATATTTCTTGTATAAATTGATACCAAGTTGCCAAATCGCTCCTGTGAAGTTCAAAAACAATTGTTTCTCATATCTCCTTCTTTTCAGAACATCTGGGAGTTAATGCTTGTACTTTTAGAAATCAAGTGTTCCTAAGAGCTGCGGCGATGCTTCCTATGCGACCTAGCAAACCAATTCAAATTCGATTTATTTTCGTCGATAGCCTATATTTACGTCTGCTTTTTCTTAACATATGCGAATTTTTTCGTGGGAGACCGGATGCCTCGAATTACCTTCAACCTCTCTCTTGTTTTAACCTCGGCATTGTCGTTTACGTTGTTAACATTCTTCTGCCGTTCGAGGTTTTTAGGTGGATTACTTTATTAGCATAATGGCCTAACGTTTCGACGTAATCGTCAATCGTCGTCTTCAGAGGCCAGGCTCCACCGTCAAAGCGGGTAAAAATTGCTGTCGCCACAGGCGACTGTCAATTCGCTACTCGGTGGAGCCTGCCCTCTGAAGACGACCACCACGTCGAAACGTTAGGCCGTTATGACGACGAAACGTTAGGTCGTTATGTTAGTGAGCTGTTCCACCTAGAAAACTGGAACGGTAGAAGAATTTTCACAACATAAACGCTTTAAATAATCCTATCTGTTACGCGCTGGCTTAGAAAGTGAGGAACTGTTGCCGTGAACTTCAAACGATTGTAGATTCGGATAGATAACTACGCTGTACAGCCGTGAAATCTATGGGCAAGAATGTAGCACATAACTGTCCCAAAACGCTCAGTCTACTGTGCAAGAAGTCAATTTCTGATGAACTTGTCGCTAACTTACTTATCGTAACCAACTTTTTTCAAGCTTTCGCTACATATTGCTAAACGGAACAGCTTTACGATGTTACACGGGATAAAAATATAAAATTTTTTTTTCTAGGTCGGTGTTCCCAGTGTTCTACAGCAAATCACGTCAGTCTAATTTCAACACNCTACTGTGCAAGAAGTCAATTTCTGATGAACTTGTCGCTAACTTACTTATCGTAACCAATTTTTTCAAACTTTCGCTATAGATTGCTTAACGGAATAGCTTTACGATGTTACATGGGATAAAAATATAAAATTTTTTTCTAGGTCGGTGTTCCCAGTGTTCTACAGCAAATCACGTCAGTCTAATTTCAACACGGATAACGAAAACAGAATTACCCATGGCGTCGAGTTTGGCAAAGAAAAAGGCATGATCAGCAAAGGAGATACGGTAGTTGCCATCACAGGATGGAAACCCGGTGAGCATTCTCGAGGTTCTGTTCTGCCTACGTTGTTAGTGGTTGCATTTCAGGTCCTGGCTTCATCAACACCGTGCGGGTCATCACTGCCGTGTAACTCTAGTTACTATTCATTATTTCATCTAATACCGTGTCACATTCATGCTATTCGAATTGATAAACGTTTAGCAAAAGATGGTAAACATGTACTGATTTATGTGTACTCTACAAATGTTCACTTTCACATCAACTTGTCCAATTATTTGCTGCAACCTTCAATTGTACATTTTTCTTTCTCAGAGTTGGTATAAGGCAAACTCAGCCGTATACCAAGTGAGTAAAAATACATCAGTACATCAAATTAACGGTAGCTTTTTCGTTGGGCAGTTCCTTTGACAGATTTTCAACAGGTACTGTGCCAAATATCTCAGATTCGTTCGTCGTATGATTAGTAGAGCTTTAGAACAGCCATGAAACTTGTGTTTGTCTGAGATTGTATGTCTTGAAGAGTGTACTTGATATGGAAGGGTTGTTGGCGGCAGGGTGGAAACCCAGCGGTAGTTCAGTGGGCTGTTACAATTGTCAAGGGTTGATTAGGTGCGATAGATTGCGAGAGCTATTGAAATAGCTTTTTCTTCATTTCCATCAAAGCCTTGTCAGCAGCGTGATGTGGAGTGTGATGGGATCGTAGATGGTTGACTACGAGAACTCGTAGCAGCTGAATAAGGGCTATTAAGGAGGCATAGAAGTCAAGAGCTATGGAGTCTGTTACGCCCTTCGTGCTAAGAAAAGAACTTTAACATCTTGGTGACCGATGCAGGATTCCACGGAGTCGTAAATTATCGGTGACAAGTATCCTTATTTTTTTCTGATTTGCTTTTCCTTTTTCGTTTTCTTTTACTTCTTATCGGGTCAAGGCTATTCGATCCACACTTTATGATAATTTTGGGTTAACTGGTTTTAGACGATACATGGAAGGGATGGTTCAGCATAGGGAAAGAGATGTTAAAGTTTTTCTGTTAGCGCGAAGGCGAAGAAACCCGGAAACCGGTTTATTTGAAAGAATATAAGGCTTCAAAAAGGAAGTAAAATTAGGGACTGGACGAGAATGTTACGAAAAAGCAGTCTGGAAGGGGTTATTGGACGAGCTGTTTGAATGCATGCCCCATCGCATGACTTTCTTCCGCACAGAAAATTGAGCAATGAATACAGGCCTTCAACTGGTAGAATCTTAGCTATGCATGCAGCAGCGTAGGCAATGGAAGCGTGCTGGCCCATGACTTAGAGGGCTGTGGATTGAAACCACTGGCTGCTAAATTTTTTACCTAGAAGCAGCATTGAATAGAGCTTCTTTGATTTGTAGATCCCTTCTTGTGACATGCAGCGGCGTGGTGCAGTAGAAGGGTGCTGGGCTCATAACCCAGAGGTTGGGATATCGAAACCACTTGTTGCTAATTTTTTTTTCGCCCAAAAAACTGAGCACTTAATACAAGCCTCCGACTTGTAGACCCTTAGTTATGGCATGAAGCAGCGTGGCGCAGTTCAACTTGCTGAGCTCATAACCCAAAGGTTGGTGGTTCGAAAACATTAGCCTAAAAGTTTTTTTTTGCACAGAAAATTGTGCATTGAATACAGGAGTTCGACTCGTAGATCCTTACTTGTTACGTGGAGCAGTGGAAGCGTGCTGGTGACATAATCCAGAAGTCGGTGGATCGAAAGCAAACGGGAGTGGGGAGTGGCGTGATCAACCACGACTTCTCTATTTCCCATCTCTTATCGTCCGCTTATTGTATCA